TAACATTTGCGAATTTCCAACTTTTTGGTAGTTTACCTTGTCTTAGTGAATTTTGAAATATTAACAATAAAGGAGTACACAGCTCTTCGACACATTCCCTAAGAACCCAGTTAGAAATTTCATCTGGTCCCTCTGCTTTGGTCTTGTCTAATCCTTTTAGCAGATCTTTTATTTCGTTCTTTTTGAGGGTGATATTTTCGATGTTCTTTACGTCTGTACGGGTATTTGCCATATCAAAGCATGGATCCTGAACAAACACTGACTGAAATTTCTCATTTAGGATTTCACACATTTCTTCCTCCTTAGAATATATAATGTTATTGTCTTTGATAGCGCTAATTTGATCCCTACTTTTAGTTTTACTATTTATGTAGTTAAAGAAGAGTTTTGGTTGACTGTGCATTTGTTTATTATGTCCTTTTCAAAGTCTAATTTCGCCTCTCTCATGGTTTGGGTATACTCATTTCTTCCTACTTTATATCTTTCATATGCTGCCTGAGATCTATGCCTTCTGAATCTTTTCCAAAGGAGATGCTTTTTTCCCTCATTTTCTTGCATTTGTCGTTGAACCATTTTTGGCCATTTCTTGCTTCAATTTTGAATTTGGGTATGAATTTTTCCACTCCTTTTTTATAGATCTCACAAAATTTTGCATACTGAACATCAAGGTTCTCATCATCCAGAAGTGTTTCCCAGTTTATGTTATCAAAGAATCTTTAAGGCTTCTATAATCACCTCTTTTGTAATTGTACTTTTCCTTTCTTTCTTTGCTTACGATGAGTTTTTCCTGTAGCAGACAGTATTTTAGTTTAATCACTACATGGTCGCTTTTTCCTAAAGGAGGACAGTATTCGATATCCTTAATATCGTCGTTATGCTTTGTAAATATTAGGTCAAGCATAGACGGCCTATCTAGCCCTCTTATCCTGGTATGATCTGTTACATTCTGGAAAAGGCAATGCTCATTTATGACATCTAGTAATTTAGCATTCCAAGAATCTGATTGTGCTCTAGGATCGAGACTTTCCCAGTCGATTTTGCTATTAAAGTCCCCTGTAATAAGAATTTCTGTTGAATTGGTTTCCGAAAGTTGTAGCACTTCTTCCAGGCTCTTTATTGTCTCTTGAATTAGTTTCTGGTAATTTTCTAGTGACCACGCCGATGTTTGAGGTGGCATGTATACCGTGGTTATTATTATGTTTACCCCATTTGTTTCTACCTCAATTACCTTCATTTCCACTATGGGGTCCTGATTAATTTCTAACTCCTTTATAATAATTCCTTTCTTTGTTAATATTGCTACCCCCCTCCATTTCCATCTGCCCTATCTTTTCTCCAAATATTATAGTCTTTAAGCCCTAATGTTACATCGCCTGTGGAGGGGTCCAGTTTGGTTTCAGTGATGCATATTACATCCGGTTTATCCATATCAATTATTGTCTCTAGTTCAAGCAACTTCGAAGATAGACCATCAATATTTGTGTAAACTATTTCTATATAATCTTTAGGTATTAAATTTGGTTGCAGGGTTAATGTTTGTCTGCCTCTACATTTTGGTTCCGATAGTATATTTGCTTTGCTTGGAGACCTCTCACCCTCCAAATAAATAAGTTTTTTTCCTCTTCAGTCCTTTGTTCATTTTTGTTTTTTACTTCTTTCCACACTGTGTGTGTGTGTGTGTGTGTGTGTGTGTGTGTGTGTGTGTGTGTGTGTGTGTGTGTGTGGTGTGTGTGTGTGTGTGTGTGTGTGTGTGTGTGTGTGTGTGTGTGTGTTGTGTGTGTGTGTGTGTGTGTGTGGTGTGTGTGTGTGTGTGTGTGTGTGTGTGTGTGTGTGTGTGTGTGGTGTGTGTTTTTTTCTCGCCCGCACCCTTATGAGACATATCAGAGACCACCTACCGAAGCACTAGAGGGTGGAGCAATCTGGATTCACTCCTGGTAAGTCCACACCCAACAATATCCTGGGGAAAGGAAATGGTCTACACCTCAGGGTCCCCATAAGGGGTAAGGGCTAGGCAATTAACCAAGGGAATACTGTGTCCATGGCTCCCGGAGGTCGTTCATGACTGACACAAAGCCAGCCTTTCATCCTTTCAGCACAGCTCTCACACCTTAGGAGTGGGATAGAAGAAGGGGATGAAGAAGCTATGGAAGAGGAAAGGAGAGAAGAAAAGACCAAGCAAAATTCATCGAGGCAAGGGCTGAGGCCCAAGGTAAGGGTGATCCTCTACACTGGGCCTCATTTCCTAAGCCCTCCCAAGACAACAATGAGCAAGGTATTGGGAGGGGCATGAACAATAATAAATTCTCCCCCCAAAAAACATGGAATAAGGATAAACAGACAAGATCAAGTAAGTAGAATAACTGACTCTTTGGAACCACTGTGTAAAAAAAAAATAGTGGACTTTGCACACATATATATACTCTCCTGTCATCAACAAATTAATGATAACCATGAAAACTAGTATTCTTTTATCTATAAATAAAGTTTCTAATTAAATCTGTCCTTACAAATTCTTTATTTAAAAGATATGTTTTTTCTTTTACCTTTAAATGTCAAAATCTGTGTAAAATCATATAATACTTCTAAAAATGTTAAATAAAACAACTGATGTATCTCAAAACATTTGATCATTACAGTTTCATATATTGAGGGAAATGGCAAGATCCAGATTTAAATCAATAATTTACATTACATGTATCATTGATTTTAATAAGAGGAAATAAAATACATTGTATATACATATAATAATGACATAACACTGTGTCATGGAAATCCATTGATAATCACTTCACAAGTTGTAATATTCTATCACCCAATTTTTGTTATCTACAGTCATATATGTCATTTATATCATTCTCTAAAAGACTGAGCAGATTATTGTATGCCTTATAAAGGTGTAAAATCTTTTAGTATAATGAAATAACTGCTTTAATGTTATACAAATTATGCAATGACTTCTAGTTACCAACTTTAAGACAAATGAAATCTCAAGTATTTTGTATACATAAAAATTAAAATTACAATATACATCAATAAAACAATATATATAACAAATTACCTTCACTTTTGTACAGATATTCACCTGGCAAGATATTACTCTAATAATGAATGCAAAGTACTGTGAAAAGTATATCAAATCATAAACAAGATCAAACTGCTGACATACTAATAAATATTTTAAGTATGAACATGCATATGAGAAATTCCAATGCCATTTACTTGACAATACTTTTTTTCATTATCAGTCCTACAGATTATAGGAAACATTACCTCTAATAAGATAATCTTATATTACTGACTGTTTTGGGTACGTCCTTTCATAAGGTCTGAGATTGTGACAAGTCATGAGTGAATGCCCAGGTTTATCAGAAACTCTTTTACCTTGAAAGAAATACCAGGATAAACTTTGAATTTTACATTACAATGAATTGTATATTACATAGAAAAGCTCTTGGGTAATCAAATCTAAACTTAAATGTTTTTTATCAAATCATTAACCCATCAGATCCAGGTGACTGTGACGTGTTGTCATGAAAAAATTTGGAGGGACAAGTAATGAAAATTCAGCATCATGAGAAAAAAAATTGGCCAACGGGCTAGTGATATTAATGTCTTGCCATGATAAATTGTTGTGGAGTAGTGGATGATAGGGATTTATCTTCAAGAATGCACAAATCAACTAGAGGAAGATTGACTCACGTCTTCAGGAAGGGGCTCATTTGCAATTTACATTAGTCCATGGGGGTGTAGCATACCACTTATGAGCTATGCCTGGTAGAGGGCTGTCTCCTGGGAGGACATTATGTCATTATGTCCATCTGCATGAACCTATTCTGGCCAGCTGTTCCCAAATGTAGTGCTACAGAAAATTGAATAATATTGGGCCAGAAAAAAATTATTTCTACTGTTACTGCAAACTCCCTGGAGATATAATGTGGAGTCTGTTTAACAAAAAGCACAACACATAACACATAGAGAAAATGGCAAAAACAAAAATGCATCTGCACAAAAAAGGGCTAATATACTTACAAAGAGGTATGAGGTCTTGATACCATCCATGAGTATTCACATGTGCCAGGCCTACAAAAAACACACCCAGGAAACTGGCCACTCAAGAAAGCCTCATGGCCAGATTTTGGTCCATGTATGAGCCAATAAGGCACCTGGATCCAACAGGTAAACAAAAAAGGTATATAATTATCTACAAAAAAACCCTCATCACTGAAACAGTTATGTAGAATAACAGTAACTGTATACAAGGTGTCTGAATTTTAAACACTCGATATGTATATCTATATGAAATATAATGTACAACTCATATTTTATATAAACGTTATATCTTATAATGGCTTCTGTACATCAGTCAGTCTTTTTCTATAAAACAGTATATACAAGCATATAAGTCAATAGGACAGTGCCCAATTACCATCAGATTACAAGGCACTCATAAGATAAAACACATTAATCTTCTTCTTCAAGAATCTGAAAAGAAAAACTTTCATTAGCTACCACAATGACCCTTCTGTCGATAAGTTTACAACAATGTGATGCAAAATTATAATTGCAATCTAAAATGTAAAGACAAATCATTGCATATACTTTTTAATTCAATTATTTCATCAAAATTTTTCCTCCCACTCTGGGTGAAAATTATATGCACTCCCAAACTATTAACCATATGAAGAACAATATGCTAAAGCATTACAAATTTTCTTTGATGAATATGCTCTAAAATCAAGATGTATTAGAGGATAATGACAGTAGTCAGCTGTTTAACATCACAGTTCACAAAAAAACGTATAACACATCAAACACAAGCCATCATAATCATAGTGCAATATTTACAATAGAGGCAAGACAGTAAATTCAACACAGTAACTATCTACAAGCCATCAATGATTTTTCTTTGTAAATGGAATAATAGTAAAAATCTAATTTCACAGTTCATCACAACTAAAGATGGAATTTTAATGAACATTTGCTTCATGCAGGTGCAAAACAGTGACTCAAATAAGCTATGGCATTGTCATAATATCTCAAAGATAATGTAACAAACAAGACTGCTTGATAAAAACTTCTGCACTCATCCTCAGTATATAAATGTATGAGCACATGTCCTGTGTCTGTATATACATGCAGAGACATATATGAATGTATGTATGAATGTACCACTCACTCACTCATTCATTCCCTCACAAACTCATTTACTCCCTCACTCTTGCTTAATACCTACTTACCTGAGGTCTCACTCTCTTCCTCAATACCTACTTACCTGAGGTAAAGTTTGTTTTCAATACGTATTGGTCTGATTATTACTCACTGTCAATACTGATAGTTTAAAGTACATCAATGAAATAACCACTGTTTATGGTTATTATTCCTTCAAATAGCAACAAAATCAATTCTGTCTTTAGGAGAAATGAGTTTTTCATATTAAGTGTGTGCTTTATGTCATTTAATTTTATTTATTCTTTGTTTTCTTAACTTTTATATCTGATTCACAAGATACATCTGAATTGTCCAAGATTTTCTTATCAGGTCAATTTTATAATTTTTCTTGTTTTGTGTTTCCCATATTTCAAAGCATGTGATAGGAGTGAAGAATCAGGATCCAATGGGTTCATAAAAAAAATCACTTTGATGAATAGCATCAAAAACTGCAAACTCTGCTTCTTTGTAATATTCAATTCAAGGAGTATTGAAGTATTTTAGAAAAAATAAAAAATAAAATAACAATAGTGTCTAAACTTCAAACTTGATTTTCTCAAAAATATTTTCATCCTTGTTATAAAAATACAAAGATCATTAATTCTATTCAAAATCTGTTATGCTTTAGAGAGCACCCAATTACCCTGGTAACTTTTTTGTCTTATTTTGTAATTCTAAAGAAAAGAGAAAGACACATCTGTTTTTCCAACTTTTCTGCTGTCAAAATTAGTCTCACTTTGTTATTTTCCCATTCCACACTTTTTAAAGTATTCTGGTAGTGGTCTCAGGTTTATGCTTGTACCCAGGCCTACTAAATACTTTGCTGAGAAAATTTAAATTTTGGGTGGGGGCACATAGCCCCCCTTGGAGCAATTAAAAAAATCCTATGTACCACAAGAAATGCAATTTAAAGGTGAATTGTATTTCTCAATTTGAACAATCACTTACTCATTAGAAAATAGCAAGAAAAAACTTGGAGATCAAACTAACTCACCCCTAGCAGGAAATCTAATAGTATATTTACACCCAAATAAAGTTTGAGTAGCATTGACAATATCAGGTAAGTAGCAAGGAACAGGAATTGATATATCCCTTGAAATAAGGAGTAAAAGGAAAATTATTCTGTAAAAAAAAGAAAATACTACAACTACTACCAACTGCAATAATAATAGTACCATCCTCTCCGTATCTGCCACTCAAAAAGACTCCAGTCAATAAAAATAGTAATCAGGTAACTAAGTATATCTCATAACAAAAAATCTTATCTAGAAGTTCTGAACACCCAACCACACACTAGTGAATAACCTCAGGTACCTCATAATTCATACATCAACTTATACTATATCAAGTATGTGTGTTGTAAGTGTGTGAGCATGCAAATAGGTGTAAGCATGAGTGTATGTGCATGTGAGGGCTTGTGCATTTGGGTCACTCACTTGCTCTTGCTCTCTCTTAAAATATTCAATGGCACAATAACTAAACACACACACAAAAGAATGAGAAAGTCCTAGGACGGCAGTCAGCAAAAACACTTTCTCCTTTTCTGTAAAGTAGTAATGGCTTAATATTTCCTTTATAATAAAAAGAAATGCAACTTCACATAAACAGCTTTAACCCATAAAGATCTCTGTTCCATAGACAATCCTTGCCCCACACCTATGATAATGCCAGATTTTATATACCAGAAAATATTCCCCTTGACCCAATAAATGAAATGTCTCAAATTATTGACAAGTAGCAGAACAAGTGTTTTGAACAGTTAACATGAGTAAGCAGTGTAGGAGTTGTAGAGAAAGGGAATGGGGAGGTGTGAAGTAAATCTGTGGGTGGGTTAAGGGAAAGGGGAGGTGCGAATGTGGCTTTCTGTCGTGCATGGGACAGGAGAGATGTGAGTACTGGGACAAGCACAATAATTAGGATGGGGGAGTGTGTGGGTGGAGCAATATTTCCAAACATTGACAGAGATGTCAAAATTTGACAAAAGCAACCAAAAGGACCAATAACATGTCTATTATCCCATCATTTTCTTGTATAGCTGGCCAACTAAATTTGCTGCCACTCTAAGGTTATCAAGCTAGATTTTAATCTGGCAGCATGGTGCATTCAAATAAAACAATATGTCCTGCTGTTGAAAAAGCAATGTCAAAAAGTCTAGGTAAATTTTGCCATTTATAACTCAATATCTAAAATTAATGTTACACTTGCTAAAGGATAACTGCTTCATGGAAATACATTTAAAAAAAATGGTAACAGAATCAAATTAAAATAAAAAAATATGTATATGATATGTGTTTACTATCTACATTTGCCTTTCCTTTTGCATATTATTTACACCAATTACTGTTTTGATTTGATGGCTTGTTTAAAGAACAAGAATAAGAAAAAGAGGAAGGAAAAAAATATAAAGTAGAAGAACAAGAAGAAGAAAAATAAAAAAGTAGAAGAACAAGAAGATGAAGAAGAAAAAGAAAAAGAAGAAACAGAAAATGAAGATGCAGAAGAAGAAGCAAAATAAGAAGAATCAGACAAAGGAAAAGAAAAGAAAAGAAAAAGAAAAGAAAGGAAAATAAAAAGAAAAAAGAAGAAAAATACTATCTGGCATGTATATTTGTTTTTCATTATTTAGTCATGATGCATGGGTGTAACATATATAATTATCCTATATGTAATTTAGACATATTTCTGGACTATCAACTTTTTGAAAGAAACAGCTGATATTATCCTACCAAAACAAAACTAAACAAGACAAGAAACAATGGAGAAAAAGAAAGAAAGAAAGAAAAAAAAAATCCTGCCAAAAGTTTCACCCACTTCAAATTATACATAATTTTAAAACAAATTAAATTACCATGTAGCAACTTGTGATATTATTATCTATTATTATTTTTCCCTTTCTTTTCCATAATATCTATGCATTAAAAATTATCTAGGCTTAATTAGGGCTAGAGCTAACTGACAGATGTGAAAGAAGCGCCCTTATTCAGCCATGTTTTATGAGAAATGCAAGTAATATTATCATTACTGTTACACAACTGTTTCATGACTGAACAAAGAACAAATGGAATATTTGCTTTCACACTTCTGACAAAAAAAAAAAAAAAAAAAAAAAAAAAAAAAAAAAAAAAAATTAACTTATTGCTTTTATATCTATTTCATTCATTTATTTTCATTATCATAGTCTCTATTTTAGAACATTAATTCTTTAGCAACTGTAAGTTGTATGGAGTATAGTTGAGGGAATTAACATTTGATCTAAAGATTAAGACATGGAATGTCTGTTATTTCATTAGATTTCTTATGCATTAATTCAAAATATCAAAATATGAGTAGCAAAGTTTGCTAAAACATCTTACACAGTTTATCTAACAACAGGGCTTCTATTGTTATATTTGAATGCTAGAGTTACCAGATAAAATCCAAGCTCAATAATTTTAACCCATTAACGCAGGGATATTTTGAAGCCGAAAATAAAAGATTCCAGGCGGCTACAAAATCAGCGGGCAGGGCTGTCCCGGACTCTGCCCGCCCCAATACAGTATCACACTGGCGGGATGCCCGGCAATGTTTATTTTTTCGAATGTCTCATATGTGGGACACCCGTCGTTAGTGGGTTGTGGTAATGAATTTATTCAACCAGTTGTACCTTAACTAGATTAGCCTCCTTTACTCAACAGTGAGCTTTATGGCATGCTTAATCTAGTTCTGTTAGTCTTTTGGGGTTCAGTATCTAGACAAAATCAATCAAATTACTGTAAATTCACATGTAAACTATCTTTTCATATATGTTTTGTACATTTTGCACAACTTTTCAAGGAAAATAATCACCCCTCAAAATGATAAACTACGTATGTATTATTACAATGTTACGTCTCTTTTTATGATAAAAAAAAAAAAAAAAAAAAAAAGGAATAAAAAAAGGGGGGGGGGGGGGAGGCTGTATCATATAAAATTTTTGATATCACATATCTAAAAAAATAAAACAAAAAGAAAGCAACCATAAAATACAAAACATGCTCAGCCAACTGGCTTGTTAATTACAACCAAGTGGGCATCTTAGCGTGGTACAGTGCCATAGTCCCTTACCCGAGGCCTCTCAACCACATGCCCTCTATCTCGCCACTTGTTGTCTTCATCTGCATCCCAGTCTTGGCCTGACACAGCTTGAGAGAGAGACTCTTTAATCTGCTCATACATGGTCTTATATTCAGGCTCTTCACTGGCTCCAAAGTCAAAGTCTGCTACTTCCACTGAATACCTAGTATTAGATAGAAAAGAAAAGAAAAAAATGTAGTATATTCCTAAATGTACTGACCACCTCTTTCCTCTGGCGAGAGAAAACTTTAGTTCATAATTGCAATTTTACACACAGTATAAATGCTTTATAAATCTTCACAATATGATATACACATAAAAATTTATAATGAAATAAAAGATTCTATAATAAATTAATGCAAAGCTTATGTATCAGTTGTCTTCAAAATCTTACAAACTTTTTTTTTAATATCTTACAATATACCATCATTCTTATTACAGTTATTCTCGGAACTGAATGGTTTACTTAAAAAAATAACATACCTCTCTCTGCTTTGTATGAAGTAAGCAACTCCAAACACTATAATGATTATAACTACCAGACTGCAAGACACAGGTACGATGATATACGACAACTGAGGTTTGCGATCCACTGAAAAAGAGCAATTTTCAAGTCAGAACAATTTACAATCATAGAATAATCATATAAAGATAACTTGTATAACACCCAATCACACACACACTCTTATTTCTCTTTCTC